ACGAGTTTCTACCGTATATTGAACTTATTCGTTGGTGAAATCTTTAACTCAATTTCTGGTTATGGAGATTTGGTATCGAGGGACAGTTTGGTCTTTAGCCGATACAAGTGTTGCTGTTGTGCGAAGTATATGCCATGCAAGCATCAAACAACAAGAATATACCAATTATTTTGTGCTTTACCCCGATCAGAATATTCCAAAAAAACACTTATTTAATCATACAACCTGTGATTAGACAAAAATGATTAGTGTCTCCGCCCCCACTTTCGTTCACTTCTTTAATTAACCATGAACAACAAAATACTATGACTTAGATTTTTCCTTCGTCTAACTATTTAAAGCTATTATTTTAACCCTTAATATAAAGTACAACTGTACAAACCATTGTTAACTATATACGCATTAACATAGTTAATCTCTATATACAACGTCGGATGTGTTATATTTTCAACCAAAAAAAATGGAGTAACAATTTTAGAATTTAGATCTTCTCCTGGAAATTATATTTCATCTAAAGCAATACGTAAACAAAGTTAAAAAAAAAAAAGGTTAAACATAGATAGAACTTCCATTATTATTTTCAAAAAAAAAAAAAAATTCCATTATTGAATTTAACAAGAAAGAAAACCTTCATTACTGAACCATCACTTTCGTGCTAGGAAAGTGAAATTTCATATTAAAACTCCAGACTGAAATTTCTTATTTAAAATTTTGTGAGATACATCTTTAACAAACTAAAAAAAATTTGTGAGATACATTGAATATTAGAAACATATTTAAAACAAAATTGTATCAAACTAGATGATATAAGTGCAAGAAAAGGAACCTAGATTTTCATAAATGGAACATCCTAGTTTTTATTACAATTTATACAAATAGGGGTGGAATTATTATCCGGGATCTGAGAACCGATCCGTTATCTGTTCGAAATCGCTCCGAAAATTAGGATATCTGGAGAGCCCGGATCCAGATAAGGATAGTAAAATCTAGGATCCCTGAAAAGAAGATATGGATAACAAAATTTTAAAA